TTTTTCTGGAGCTAACACCTCTCCAAATGTGGCATTATAAGTCCTGAAGCAGCCAAGTGTGACAGTCTCCATTTGTCACTGTCCCCAGATGAACAGCTCTCTGCCCATGGATTCTGCAGAGCCTCTCATCAGTGGAGCTGTCTCCTTGCACACAGGTGGCTGCAGTGTGACATCCCCAGTGCCTGTGGGACCAGCACAGCCAGAGGGGCTTGCTCAGCCTGCAGGGCTGTGTCTGCCTCCAGCCTGGTGCTGTGAGTGCACAAGTGCAGCCTCACACCCTGCAGATGGATGGGCTGACCGCAGGCACCTCTGCTGAGGTGTGGGGGGAGGCAATGCCCTGTGTGAGCCCCAGCAGGAAGCTGTGCTGCAGAGGCACCCATGCAGCAGGGGCAGTGCACAGCAGCACTGCTGCCCTGCACACAGCTGTGCCTGGGAGAGTGTCAGGGGAGCAGCTGGGTGCTGCCAGCCAGAGCAGCCAGCCCTGCAGTGCTGGGAGCTCCGTGCTGCCCAGGAGCTGTGCAGGGCAGTGCTGGCACTGGGGAGCAGGGCTGCTCACAGACTCTGCATGTGAGACACTGCTGGACTGTGAACAGCGCCTGGCTCCCAGGAGCTGCTCAAACAGGAACCTGGTGTGCTCAAGGACATTTTGGGCAGGATCTGGAGACTCAGGTCAGTTTGTCTGGAACTTGCTGCTGAGCACTCATCAAGTCAGAGGCCGTGACACAAGCCAGGAAGCTGTGTCACCCTGTGACCTGGGTGCTGGTGGCTGTGGGTTGTGGGTTGGTTCTGACTCTCACCCTGCTATTGGAGCTGTCTCAGCCATCTGAGGATGCCTGTGAGGGGCACTCCTGAAAGCACTCAGGAAATCCTTTCTATATGAAGCCACTAAGGCTCTAATTTTACTTTATGTAATAACTCTTCCTTTAAAAAACATGTGATATTTTTTTCTTGTTGCTGTTAGAGGGGAAGAGACCTGCCTGGCCTTGAGTTAATGCTTTTTCCTTCTCAAATCCACTCTTTTCCACAGGCTGTCACCAAAACACATTGTGTTTGTGATTTTAAAAGAGAAGAGGTTGGCCGTGCTACCCGGGGCAGCTGGGCAGCAGGATCACAGGGAGCAGGGTGGCTGCCAGCAGCAGATGCTCTGCCCCAGGTGTGTGCCACAGAAGGTGCTGCACGATGGAGCTTTGCTGAAGGAAAACCTTTTCCCTAGCTGGCCTCCTCCTGTTTCTCTCCCCTCCCTACAGGAATAGACTGGGAGGTTGTGTAGCTTGCTCTGGGCTGTGAACCTCAAGGTTTAGAGAAAACCTGCTCCTTGCTTCTTTGCATTTCTGGCCCTCACTGGAACTGAAGTCAAATGCCAGCGTTGGTGTTGCTGGGGGTTCACCAGCACTTCACAGCACCTCCTCTCCTCCACCTGCAGCACAGGACCCCAGCAGTGGCTGTTTGGAGGTTTTATGAACCAGCTCACAGGCAGGAGAGGCTCCTCCCAAACACCCATGGCACTGGGGTTGTTGCCTGTGAGAGGTACCATAAAGCAGAGCAGGCTGGGTACTGCCCTGCAGTGCTGTGCCCCTGGTGTGCAGCCTGGGCTCCTGTCCTGGGCCCTGGCCACCATCTCCAGCACACAGGCCTTGGGCAAGGGTTTCTTGAAGCTGTCTTGTGTCCACAGCAGTGCAACATCTCCTTCATGCCAGCACCATCCTTAAAGGTCCATGGCCTGCAGCAGAAAGGGTGGGAAACAGAAGCCTGTGCTTTTCATTGGAGACACCATTTTGCAGCTCAGGAGCAGCTGGGACCGTGGGTACTCCTCAGTTCCTCCCCCTAATCAAAAACCCAGGCAGAGTGAGGAACATGAGAAACTGCCTTGCAGCAGCAGTGAGTTGGAGGAGGCTGTGAGCTGTGGCAGAGCCAGAAATCCAGCTTGGATAGAAACTGAGTGTCTGAGTAACTGGGAGCAAGCCTTGGAGCAGCTGGCTCACCTCTCCCTCCTGAGTGCTCGTGAATGCTGAGTCAGCACGTGCTGGGAGCTGGGGTGTGCCTGAGCTGTGCCTTGGGACAGCAGAACACTCAGCTTTCCTGGAACCTTTTTATCCTTTCAGTTTATCTGCAGAGCAAAGCTCCCCATTACCTTCTCTTTAGCTTTCCTGACTGGCTGCTGCACCAGTGCCATCCTCTTCCTCCCCTTGCAACCAACTCTGGAGAGGATGGTGTGCAATGGGGACACCCTCACCCTGCTGTGCCCTTTGGGCTGTGACACCTTCAGGCAGGGGCTGAGCAAGGAACCTCTTCTGGCACATGACCCCAGAGGTGACGTCTAGGAGCCCTTCAGGAGGGGGCTGTGACCCCACAAAGCCTCCAGCCTGCAGATGTTCCCTAAGGAGAGCACTGGAGCCCTTCCTGGCCACATGGGGCTGCCAACTGGAGTGGATCTCTGCTAAGGCCTTTATTTAGCTAAAACAGAGAGAGCACAAACCATCAGGAAATGCCCTATTAATGCACTGGAGATAGAATCAGGCTGGAAAACTCCAGGCTGGACTGTAACAGCACACAGCCTGTGATTTAAAACCCATGTGTTCAGCAGGCCAGAAGCCAGGAGCCCCAGGCTCTAATCCCAGTGCTGAGTTCCACAACAGAGCTTCAGGAAGTGGGGGAGAGGCTTTGTTTAAATTTCCCCATGTTTTCCTGGGCAGGACCCTTTTACCATAGGCATTAACAGTTTAAGAACTGCTTGGTTTCTTGGGGCTTGCAGTTGGTGGAAGATGTGTCCATTTCCCCAGAAGCCATAGGCAGCATGCATCAGAAAAAGGGGCTGGGTTGTTATTGGTGGTTTGTTGTGATTTTTTTTCCCCTGCTGTGATTAAGAAAAGCTTTTGCTCACCAAGAAGGCATTCTTTAGAGGAGTGCCTGTCCCTCATTAGAGCATAAAAGCAGTTCATAGGTCTTTTGGGGCTGGCAGCAGTAAGACCTTCGAACACACAAGTAAGCTGATCTCTAACTGAACTAAGGATTAGGTTCCAAACTGCACTGCATTTCTGATTGGATGCACACTCAGCAGCTGGGCTATTTTTGGCTCGTGAGCCATTCTAATGGCTGTTTATTTTTAAGGTCATTTTCTGTTTGCATAGCATGTACACCCTTCTGGTGGGTGGGAGGCATTGTAAAAACAATCACTGCTGTGCAGAGCTAGGAACTAAGTCTGGAGAGGGATGGAAAAAACAGAACTCAGTGTACTTATTGCTTTAAAGCCCAAAAACATCTGCTTAGGTCATAAGGTTTGCTGGCCCACTCTGAGCTGTGTCCCCAGCGGAAAAAGTCTGTTCCAGTTGATACAGACTACTGCAGGGATTGCAGGAGACCTGGGAAAGCCTGCCAGACAACAACTGGGTATAAATAGAAAGGAAGCATCAGATTGATGCCCTTACCTTCAAGGAGTAAATAGAAACCAGAGCAGTCTCCCCACAGCAGAGGAGTCACCACTTGTGCTGGGCTGGCCAGGCCTGGGTCCCAGCTCTTGTTAAGACCCTTGTTCAATAATAACATCCTTTATTGTCCTGCTTTCCTGGCTCCTTCCTGTTGGCAGTATCTTTATTCACACAGTCAAGTGATACAAATTCACTGGAACAGTAGCAGTTTATAAAAGAGAGGAGTAAGAATAATTATCTTGAACTGAAATTTAAAAAACACATGGCCACCTGTCAAGCAATGCTCTGCTTGTGACAGCTCATGGTAAGGAAACATTTTACAACATTGGCAGTGTATTCCCAGCCATGCTGCTTTTCCAGACCACAAAATACACAATTTAAAAATATACTAAAAGTAATAATGGAGTTTGTAGAAATGCTTGCTGCAAAACAATTGCTGTTGTCTGATTTCCTCTATATTTACTCCCTTGCTACATTATGACAGAATACTGGAATAAACACAGTTTATTTCTAACTGAATTTGAACTTTAAAGTTGATCTCAAGTAAACTGTAAAGTCTTTGGCTCCCATCCTTGAAGTACATGAAGGACCTTAACTTTGGACTTGTGAGGCTGATAAGGCAGGAGGTGAACCCACAAGTGAGAATCTGATGCCTTGGGCAGCAGCCCAGGAGGGAAGAGGAAGCTGAAGTGCTGTACTTCACAGGATCTTAATTTGGGCTTTTCCCTGGATTTTTACAGACTTTTATCAAGTCTTCCCTGGGCTCTCCTTTTACCTGATAGGCTGGAGATTTCAAGTTTCTAGTAATCTGGTATAACTGCCTGTGTTTGAGATTTGGGCTCTGCACTCAGTTGAGTGAACTGCAGCACCTCTCTCCCTCCGTATTTCACTGCTCAGGGTCATTTTCCTGTCCTTTTGCCCTCCCTTCCCTCCTCCTGGCATGGCCTCTTTCCATGTGAGAGAGCTGGATGCTCCATGCTTTGCTGAGGCTCACACTGAGCCCCACACAAGCTCCCTGCATTCCAAGTACCATTCTCTGAGTGTTTCCAACCTTGAGAACACAGGGAATCAATCCAGTGCTGGCTGTGCTGTGCAGGGATGAGCAGCTATTCCCTTGGGCTGGCATGCCTGCAGTGAGAATCTCAGAATGCTCATGGAAAGGGACATCCAGAGTGGCCCTTGCTGTGACAGAGGAACACACAGTGAGCAGGCCAATGTGTTCAACTCTGGGATTTCATGCTCCTTTTCCTCCCAAGAGCCAATCTCAAACCATTTCAAACAAGAGATGTTTTAGCAGAGATGAAGAATAAGGCACTGAAGGTGAGCTCATTTGGCCAAGACTGATCCACAGGGCACTGCCCCAGTCCTCAATGCTCTTCACTGAGCTGTTCTCTCTGTGCTCACATCGTATGAGACATTTTCAGAGGGGAAACCTTGTATCAGCTCTCACAGCACACACAGGGGCCAGGACCCACCTGCCTAGGCACGGCCTTCAGAGAAACCATCGAGAAGGACACGCACTGGAGGCCAGAGGTTGGCTTCCCAGTGTATAAACACCACCAGCTCCCAGAGAGGTCAGCTGTGGAAAGATGACCAGGATACCTGTGAGGTATAAAACTCTGAGTCAGCTGGCCAGTGCTCAGCCCTGTCATCGTCAGACTTGTCGCTCTCATCGCCGCTGGAGGGCTCGTAGCCCTGCGTGGCAGAGGGGATGGGCTCCGTCTGCCTCCGATCCGCCTCCGCCTCCTTCTTCTTCTCGGCCAGCAGCTGCCTGTAGCACAGGTTGCAGACCCTCAGGGGCTTGGGGGACAGCCTGGGCATCAGGAACCTCTGGCGGGAGCAGTCGGCGCACACGACGAAGCCGCACTTGCGGCAGTGGTGCCTGCGGGTGAGCGTGGAGAACTTGGTGTGCGTGCAGCGCATGCAGATGTCCGTGGCCTTGTCGGGGATCCAGGGCGCCGCGGGCTCCCTGCACGGCTGCCGGCCCGTCTTGCTCAGCAGGTGCTTGATGCACTCCTCCAGGTGGCTGATCCACTCCTTCCTCTCCGTCAGGGACGCTGCCGACACCACAAAGGACTTCTTGGAGGTTTTGATCATCCAGCGGTTCTTCATCTGCAGGGTGTCCGGCAGCGTCTCCAGAGTGACGTCTTCAAGGGGGATGATGTGCTGGGAGTTGTACTTCCTTTTGTTGAGGATGATGCTGCCGTAGACCAGGATGTCGTTGAAGAGGAAAAAGATGCGAGGCTTTGGCTTCTTGCGGCATTCCTTGGTTAAAATCCCTTCTCCCAGGAGCACCCTGCCCGGCAAGGCCAAGGGCTGCCCAGAAGCCCCAAAGCAGCTCTCCACAGCAGCGATGCGCTGGCTGTTGATCTCCGTGTTTGCAAGGTGGTCCATCATGTCCAGCTCCCTCTGCAGAGAGGAAAACACAGAAGGAAGAGGTGAAACTGCAGACACCTGCACCAGGGTGAGGGTGAGTAGCCAGTGGATGCACAGGTGAGATACTCCTGAGGCTACAGGTGATCTCATGAGCACATCTGGCTGTGGTTTGTTATCTTTCTAAATAAAATCTTCAAACTTTCTGACCTCATTTTGCAACAGCCCAAGCTATACTTAGAAGGTTCAATTTACAGCAATGGAAGCCCTTGAAGGCAAAGCCAGGTCTTCCTGGTTGTGCTTTTTACCAGTCTCCCTGTGTGCCCTTAGAAAAAAAAGCTGCTTGATCTGAACCTGATTTTATGCAGATCCATAGAGAGCAAACCTCCTGTTTCTGACTGCACACCTGCTTTCTCAAGGATTGCTTACAGACACACACCTCCCACAGCTCCATTTTGGGCCTGAGCTGAGGCAGGAGCAAAAGAAAACTCTGTGGTATCACCTCTTCCATGCATGACAAAAAGGGTAAAAAAAGGAAATTTAAAAAGCCCCCATGATGTGAATAAACCCACAGAAGTTCAGCCTTTCCTCTGTTATCCCAGGACTGACAGTGCTTCCAAATGCAAGACACATCATTCTGAAAACAGTGAGCTTTGCTGAAGGGGAAGTGGAATGCAGCACACTCATCTCTCCCACACCTCTGCACCCTCCTTCTCACTCAGTCTGGGGTTTGACACTGTGCTGTGCTTTGTTCTAGCAGGAAACCCAGGTAAGAGTAACCCTGAAGTGAAAGCAGCTGCTGGCTCTTGGCAGGCTGCACTAAGGGAGGTGCTCCCTGGCAGTGGATTTTCTCCTTGTCCCTTGCAGGCTGGAGGGTGCTGCCCAAGGCCAGCTGGCCATGGCAATGTGAGTCATTTCCTCTTGCACAGAGGGAGCTCAGCCATCACAAGGCAGCTCCGAGATCACAGGGCCATGTGCTGTTACCCTGCTTGCGGCTGCTGGTTGATGGAAGCACTCATGCAGAGCTGCTCTCCACTGCTATCCCTGTGCTCCTTGCCCAGAGTCCCTGCTGCCAAGGAGGCTGGAGGGAAGAGGAGGATGACAACATGCCTGGTCCCGTGTGTGTGGGACATTCTACCCTTGCTCCTCACCCCCAGTCACCCCTTTGCTGTGCTGGAAGGGAAACCACAGAGCTGCTGCAAACCATGCACCTCTCAGCTGATCCATCTGGCAGGCAGACTGGGCAATTCCTCTGGGTTCCCAGAGCTTCCCTCTCTAGGGTGAAAAGGCACAAGGTTCAGCCATGGCAGACCTAACTGGAGTGACCCAGCCTGCAGGAACAGCTTTCACTGAGTGCTGAGTGCTCCTAAGAGCTGCCTTCCTCGGGGTCCCCCTCAAGCTGCAGGGGGGATGTGAATCCTCAGGGCCTCAAAGCCCAGGAGTGCACTGGGTGGGGCTGGGCACTGCTGGGCACATCCACTCACTTCACATTCCCTGAGTGCTCTGGCCAGGCTGCAGCCAGAGGGGGAATCCAGGGCTGCCTGCAGCAGCAGGAGCTGACAGCACTCCCCAGCCAACCTGCCATGGCACAACGTGCAGCAGCTGGGCCAAGGTCCTGTCCCTTGTCATCAGAGAGGAGAGAGCCTCCATTCCCAGCGTGGCTCCATCAGCCTGAGTGCATCTGTGCAGGGAGAGGAGATGTCCTGCTGCAATAAGCACCAGGTGTCTTTACCCTGTCCCTCTCAAATACACAAATGAGGCTGAAGAGCACACAGGCAGGACAAACTGCTGTCCACAAACTCCCTGACTAGGGCTACCCAGACTCCACCTATCCTGGGATATGATCTCTCCACACATCCCTGGATGAGGAGTTTCTGTGTGAAAGAGCAAGATGAGCACACAAATAATACAGGAAAAACTCAAATTACAGCTTGGGATCCTTGGTGTGCAAAGTCTGTGAATGCAATAATATGCTGTCAAGAATTTTGGGCACCAGCCACACCAAATGGGATAAACCAAAGCAGTCCCACCAGTTTCCTTCCATTGTGCTGCTGGATTATGGAGCTCTTAGCCTGCCTCTTTCATTTTATGTAGTTTAGAAGCATGCCCCAACCTCTCAAGAACTTATGGTACTTGACATGACTGCTTCTAGGGATCTCTGACACCAGATTCCAGTGGAAACTAAAATATTTTGTCAGATATAGAGACCTTGCCTGCACAGAGCCAGGAAACCTGAAATCCTTTCCAAAGAGGAGTGTAAGCTGTGCTGCTGTGAAAGCTTTAGCTGATGCACTGACCTGGGTCCCTCTTGGACTTACTGCATGGAGCAAAAGGAGAAGGGGCTGGACACAATCCTGTAGTGTGAAAAAACCAAAGGTGAGCTCTCATTACACATCAGACTTCTACCTGCAGCTATGTCCCTACTCCTCCACCCTCTGGTTTGCTCCCTAGTTAAAATACCACGAGTTAACCTAAGAAAAGCCAACTCTGTTGTGGGAAAATCTTCTCTGCTAAGACTACAATTGTTGGCTGCTCTAGCTCAGGGTATTTCTTGAAGGAGTTTTCGTGGGATGCAAAAGCAGAATGTTTTCCTCCCATCTCTCTCCACCTCAGGCAGAAGTGACTGGAGAACAGCACATACACATAATAAAAAGTTAAAAAAAATAAAATGGTAGGAGTGGGACTCACAGTGCCTACCTTTAGGCTTGGACAATTCACTCTGTGTTATTCCTGTTCAGGTAGGGGGGCAGAAACAGCCATCTGGGGGGCTGACTCATCACATCCCATCACAAGCCAGATCCATCCTGCCCCGAGTTCCACACAGAGCTCAGCTTGACCAACCACATAAAACCCAATTTCATGTTAATACTGTGACTCACTGCAAATAATCCACAGTTTGACTTTGGAATGCAGGCACTTTGTGAATCTGGTAAATAAAGATAGTTGCTGAGTGTTACTATGGTCTGCTTTCCTGGGAGATGAGAGCCTCTCCCTTTGGAACAAAGTGAGGGTATGAAGTCTAATCTACTTTATTCATTTTGGTAAATTATTTTTTTTCCTGTTTGCTTAAGTTTGCTGTGTCAGGTCAGCATGGTGACAGTGCTTATTAGCAAGTGCTACATGTGCCCATGTACCACATGCAGCAGCAGCAGCACCTTACCCAGCTGAAATTAAGGTGGCAAGATGTGTTTTTCTGGCATGCTGCTTTTCACAGAAGTTTCTGGCATGGCAAATTCTGGGGCTGTTTTTTTCATCAAGATCTGCTGGGTCTGCATGTGATCAAATACTATGCAGTGAACATGACTGATGTTCAAAGGAAAAGAACCACCAGCTTGGCACTCCCCTCCAGAAGTAAGCACGCCACAACACTTAACAATGCGGGCTTGTTCACTTGTGATTATAAACAGCCATGTTGATGCCTGCCAGGCACAGCATTTCAGCTTCAGCTCACGGGTCAGCAAGTCTGGGGTATGTTTTTCAAGTCTGTATGTACCTAAGGCTTAGGTGTACCGATGCACAGAGCTGTTCCACCTGATCCTTCCATTCCTGCCATCAGGGAGAGCTGACAGCCCTGGTATCCACTGCATACCTCATGCATACCACACATGGGATGGTCCATGACACCCAGATCTCACTGCTGAGGGCTGCCAGCAGGGAATGCCCCGAGCCTCATCTCTCTGCAACTTTTCCTGAATCCCTCTTTCTGCCTTGCTCTGAGAAATCTCTCCTGGAGTTAGGGCTGGCATAAGCTCTTGCTCACCAAGCTGCAAGTAGGATGCAGCTGCCCGAGCAGGCATTTAGAGCAAGAAGAACAAAGTTCCTCTCCTTTTCCTGCCGGAGGGCATTTCAGCTCGCTTCTCCCTCTCCCGGCACGCTGTAACTGCAGGGGTAAGGAGGGCAGGCTCTGGTAAGCCCCTTCCTGCCGTGCTTACAAGGAACCCAACTCAGCACATGCACATTTTGGGGCTGGCTGTCACAGGGGGCCTTTAGGAATGTGACAGTCCCGGTGGGACAGGGACTGACTGAGCTGCCAAGCTGCTCGCCACTGCTGCTCAGCAGGGCCAGAGCAAAGGGACGGCCGGGCAGGCTTTGAGGAGCTCGGGCTGATGCTACCGAACCCGCTGGTGACAGCCTGAGCTCAGCTGTGGCGCTTGCAAGTGCCAGCCAGGCTCAGAGGCGCCCAAGCAGCGCAGGAAGGGTAGGAAGGGAGGGAGGAAGAGGGAAAACCACGAAACTCAAGGCAGAGCCTTACCCCGTCCGTGCCCCGCTCCCTGTCCCCGCACTCATCCCGAGGCTCTCCGGACTCGTGACCAAGGACACACACGGGCTGGCTGCCGAGGGGACCGCCAGGGAAGCGACAACTGTCCCTCGCTGTCCCTCGCAGCGCCCGGGAGCTCAGCGCCCCTCTGGGACAGGCGCAGGCCCACGCGGGGTCCCGCTTACAGCTCCGCAGCGGGACAGCGTCCGGGTTTGGTACGCGGGCAAAGTTGGGACTTAGAGTCCCTCTAAAACCCCAACACACCCTCCCTTCTAAAAACCTCAGCATACCCTCCCCTCTGGAGCCGTGCTCGGGCCGCAAGCTCCGCACACGCGTCAGGGGATCGCGGGACGGGCAGGACACACCGCGGGATCCCCGGGACGGGCAGCGCACACCGCGGGACCCCGGGTCGAAGCCGGCAGTCCGCATGGCCCCCTCACTTCGCCGCTCTGTTCGACGGCTGGTGGAGCGGAGCCGCCAGACAGCTCCTGTCCCCCGCTCCGGCCCGGCAGCGGAAAAGCCCCAGCTCTCCCCTCCGTCCCACACCGAACCCCGGCTCTCCCCGCCGCCCCGCGCCGCCCGAACCCAGCCCCGCTCGGCCCGTACCTACCGGCCCCGGTAACGCTCCCGCGGGCCGCGCCGGACGGCTCCGCTCCGCTCCAGAGCCGGGCCCCGCTGCCGCTCCCCGCCCACCGCCACCGCCGCCAATGGGCGCCCCGGGGCCGGGCTGGGCTGCCGGGGCTGGGACGGCCCCACAGGGCCGTGAGGGGGACTGCCTGTGCCCCACGGCTGCCTGTGTGCCCTATGGCTGTGTGCCCCATGGCTCTGTGACCCACGGCTGTGTGTGCCCCACGCCTGCCTGTGTGCCCCACGCCTGCCTGTGTGCCCCACGGCTGTGTGTGCCCCATTCCTGTGTGCCCCATGTCTGTGCCCCGCGGCTGTGTGCCCCATGGCTGCCTGTGCCCCATGGCTGTGTGTGTGCCCCATAGCTCTGTGTGCCCTGCTGCCATCCAGCACCCTCCTGCACACTCTCCTCTTGGCCCCACAAGCACAGCTCAGTGTAATTAGTTTGCTGGCAGTTTTAAGTTTCCAGTTTGATCACCCCCTAATCACGTTATATTCCATCCAGCAGAAGGGTACACATGGATGGCATTGTGTAAAGATTGTTTCAGTGATAAAGCACCCCCGGTGTTTCACAGTTAAGAAGAAGGATATAAATAGAACTACACATTACACTGGTCCAAAACAGAAACCAGACCTGCTCCCAAGCCTTGGATCACAGCTTCTCACCACTTCTGTAGTTACACTTACACATGTCTGTGTAGAGAATGCTCTATTAACACCGAATTGGCGTTGCAGGGAAATCTTTTACATTCCTCTCTCCCACTCATGACAGTGCCAGGAGGGTGGTGGGGCTGGTGGGCAGAGGCTGTGAGTGTCCCCAGCACTGCTGAAGGTGCTGCAGGGCACCCGAGCTCTGGCCCTTGCCAGGTGCAGTCACACAACCCCAGGCCTGGGCTGATCTATAATTCAGGTGCTTGCTCACTTTCTGTAATAGCTTTTCTATTTTTAATGGGAAGTGATGGACCTGTCAAGGTATTAGAAATATTTTTTTTCCCAGGTTTTCATTTTCTTTGGTAATAATAATATGGGCTGGGAAGCTCATGGTGCACTTTAGAGCTAAAGTGCTTGGCAATCGTGGGAGCTTCCAAAAGACCTTATTTCTTTACACTTTGTGTTTGTGTCAGACGAGAAGATAAATGAGGACATGGACTAAGTTCAGTGCCTAGCAGTGTATGAGGGGGGATTGCAGAGAGAGCCATCAGGTCACTGAGAAACCCCTGAAAACCTGGGAGAAAGCTCAGCACAGAGGGGAGGCTGCTGGGCTGGACAGATTCAGGTTATCACTATATAATACTGATATATAAGTTATATATATATATATATATATATATATATATATGTATATATCAGGGCTTTCCAGTCCTCTCTTTTCTGTGGGACTGAATTGTCTGTCAGTGCAAGGAGCATGGTCTGCCTTTGCAGACTGGTTCTCACACCTGGGAGCTGGTTTGTGTGGAACTGCTAACTCTGAGGAGATCTGCCCATCTTAGAAATTAATTCTCTACAGAATGCTGGGGTTCTTTAAACAAGGTATAACTGTAAATATCTGTAAACTATAAATAGACAAAGCACTGAACTAAATATGCCAGAATTTGTCTTAGCTGTCAGGCTAATTCAGATCTAACCAGCCACAGATTATTACTCTGAAACTGGTTTTTTGCCTCCTGTATGCTAAAATTATTCTGAATTTGCTCTCATATGCTAATGAAACTATGCTAATAATAGTCTTTATTACTGAGATTTAATATTTTATTTTTCTTGTTGTTTCTCAGCATGCTCACCTGGACAACACATCAGCCAAACACAGCATTGGGCTGGCCAAACCACCTGGGATTTGGAGGTTTTTTGTTTCTCTTCAGTCAGAAGTGGAGGCGTGCTCAGGCAAGTGTTGCATGAGGCAAGGGAAGCCCCAAAATCCACTTTGTGCTCACAGTCAGTGTTAAGCAATTGCAATTGAGAGCTGACTTTCTGTTGGTATTTTGTTTGTTTGTTTTGGAAGCTCTTACACACTTGCTCGAATTCCTCACTGAGATGCAAACTGAGAGTTTCACCAGTAATCTTAAGAGTTATTTGAGAGGCAGGCTCAGGAGCTCTGTTTTTCCTGGCTGTAAACCCAAACATTTGTGGGACCACTTGAAAAAGCTGCAGCCCAAATTACCAGCTTTTAAAGCAACTAGAGCAAGGTGAAGAGACTTTATCTGATTGCCTCTGGCATTTTCTCCAAAGCCACTTGTTTCTCAGTAGCAGAAATATCTTGCCCAATTGGGATGCAATAATTTCAAAGCAAGTAAAGGAAACTGCAGCTGCTCAGCTGAGTCAGCCAAAGGTAAGCTCTGCAGGGGAGAAAATGTTTTTTTATTATCTTCTAGTGGCAAAATTACTACAACAGCCTGCAGGAAAAGATTAGATTATAATAGTAACAAAAACATCTGTTAAATTCTCAGCTCAGTGTATGTTTAGTGCATGTTTGGAAAAGAAGGAAAAACAACCCAGGCATTTGATAAAATTATTTTGACTAAAACTCAGTATTTAGATTCAGTTTGGGATGTTAGGAACCCACTGTGATCATAGGATAGACAGTGATTTTAACTAATTGACTACATGGGGCATTTAATCAGTGGACAAGACAGCCTGTAGCAATGGAGATTTTACTGAATTGAGCTTGGCATACTGTGACCTAATGAAGGAGTAAGGCAACTTGTGTTCATCATCCAGGTTACCTGTAGGGATGAGTGACCTCTGTCCTGAGTGAGGGTGTGGGGATGAATGTTTATCTGATCTGGCTCCTGGGGGTTCAGCTAATCAGCCTCTTCAGAAATGTGTGACTTGCCATGAATGATTTGTGTCTCTGAGGCACTACCAGCTTCATCTGCCTGCTTTAGAAATGCCTGCTTCCAAGTCTGGCAGTGCAGAAGTCACATCCATGCTCAGCTCTGTCAGTACAGGCTGGAATTCAGGTGCGAGTTCCCAAATTCTCACTGGTCCTCATGCCTTGAGGCTGCTGCCCAGCAAACCTGTTTGAGAGGCTGCTTGTGCCTCAGGGCATCTCTAAGCCCTGGTGCAGGAAATTACCCATTTCTTGAGAGGCTCTGGGAGCCTGGCTGCAAAATGATTGCACAAGTGATGAAAGTATTCCTGAAAGCATCCTTTGCTTGCTGTTCTGCCCTTTGCATAAAGCAACGCTCAATCAACATGCTTTTGTTTTTTACAGAGGCTCTGTGTGTGTGCAGCACTTTATCCTCAGGATCTTGAAGGGCAGCGTAAATTCTAATAACTGTGAGGGTTTGTCCCCTTCTCACAGGGAGTTCCACTCTTGCTGTTTCATTTGGTCACAGGATCACTGACACAGAACAGTGGGTGATTTGCTGTTGCCTCCAGCAGCAGCAGGCTCTGGCTCAGAGTGAATCACCCAGGGGCTGAGGAGCATCCCCCAGAGCTCCTGACTCACACCCCACGTGCCTCACCACAGGGCCATGTCCCAGCTCACCAATCCCAGCGATCCTCACAAAAGCTCTTTGTGCAAGGATGATAAAACCTCTCACATTTGCAGATTCTAAAGTTACAAGTTTGTGTTGATGTTTGCTGCACCCTTCCCTGCTCAGACCTCAGCCCTGCTCCCTGCTCCATGAGTGAAGTTCCAACTGTGCAGCACTGCAGTCTCGAATAACCAATAATGATCAATAATTTCTGAGCGGATTGGTTGTGATGAGTCTCCAGGCTGCACCCAAGAACTGCCCAGTGCAGGGACTCCCAAGAGGGAAGCTCAGAAGTCTGAGCTCTCCTGATTTGCAGGAGTGGTGAGCACACACTGAGGAACGAGCAGGAGCCCTGACATGCTGCAGCCCCTGCTCGGAGCAGTGTTCCCCATAGTGGGAACAGGCTGGAGTTGGAATACAAAAGGTGAAGGTGAGGAAAAGCTGAAGTAGGAGAATATAAAATGTCAGGACTGTGAGAGGTGCAGGTGTTCAGTGCAGAGAAGGATATAATGTTAGAACAAAATGTATGAAATTAATGAGGGAAAAAGAGGGGTGTTCAGAAAAGCTCCTGAATGCATTTTTCAGCATGCTGAGAGAAAGCTGCACCTTCTGAGCCCAGCCTTCCTTGCAGAAGGGACCATTCTGGGCACGTTCTTCTGAGCCCTTTTCCTACTGCTGCTGTTCTGTCTGAACAGTGATCTCCTATTCAGTGTGCCTTTATTGCACAAGATAAATCATGGTGAACAAATAACTGGTGAGCAAGTGTTTCAAAGACTAAACTGAGGTAGATTAGCCATTTCAAATATTGAAACAGGGAAAAAGTGTGGGGAACAGAGTGTGATAATCACTGGCTAATGCAAAAAGATGTAAATGACTGATTGACTGATTAGTCAAAGACAAATAAAAGAGTGTCATTCCTGAACCCTGCTTTGCCTATGGATATAGCTTCTATTTATGTGAAGAACATGCTTTGGTCTCTTTCCTTTGTAACTGCTACCCAGGCTGAATGTGTGCATTGGTCAGAAAGGAGAAACCCTCTCTTTGTAAGGGACCTTGCCCCACATCAGTGTCTTTTGTGCAGGAAGGCATCTGCTGCCATTGCCTGGGGAAGGTTCATGCACTGAGTGCATGTGCAGAGAGCTCTGTGAAGGGGGAACAAAAAGGGAAATCTTTGTTTCCTTTTGTTATCTTCAAATGCAAGGGAACACAGCCATGTGATGTGGTTTTTTTCCAAGGTGTTCCGCTGACATCCTGGAAACCAAGAGAGCAAACCTCAGCTTGGCTGAGATCCCCATCCATTGACATGCTGGATCTTCAGGTGCAGAGATGCTGATCTGAATGAGGAATTGGGGATTTCTTCTGAGGTGGAAGAGGTTTATTGGCTTTTAGAGATTGTGTTGCTGCCTGGGTGGTGCAGGATGTATGAGATGTGACACAGAGGATGTATGAAGGATCACACCTTAATTTGTGAAGTGCAAAAATTGGTGTCTGGTTGAGAAACCAGAGGGATGTTGTATAATAGGAGGTTTGTGGTTGCTGTTGAGGAGGCATCTGAAGGAGGAGCTG